TTTTTTTTTTTTTTTTTTCTTTTTTTTCGTACTGGGGATCAAACTTGGATCCTTGCGCTTGCCAGGCAGGTGGTGGAACTGCTGAGCTAAATCCCCGCCCCCCCTTTTTGTTTTGTTTTGTTTCGTTTCTGAGATGGGATCCCAGTATTGCCTAGGCTGGTCTTGAATTCCTGGGCCCAAGTGATCCTCCTGTCTCAGCCTCTTGAGAAGTAGGGACTACAGGCCTGAGCCACTGTGCCCAACTCAGTGGGAGATCCCTTTGGCATCAGAACTGTTCAATGTTGTTTTTCCCCTTCTTGTCTTCCCCTCCCTTTGGCATTGGTGATCAAATCCAGGGCCTTGCACTTGCAATTGTACTCTGTCACTGTGCTACACCCTCAGTTTTATTTTTCATTTGTTTTGGTGAGCATTTTATGGTTAGTAACTTGGAAATAAAAGAATTCTCTAGCTGCTGTACTCGGTGGAGATCTGTCAGATGATGGTGGTGGTAAGCAGCTTGGTTGTGGTGAGAGGAACAGAAGACTTTCCTTTTCCACTGTCTTCTCCCTTGAAGAACTTGCCTCCAAGTCTCTCTTGGTCAAGGAGATGTATTTCTGTATTTGGCCTGTCTAATTTTACAGAGCCAGAACTTACAGGAAAGATGTAGCTGGACTCAGGACATCCAGCCACACTCAAGTGGTAGAGGGGCCTTGCAGTGATACAGTGAAGTAACCCAGCCCTAATGTGGGTGCAGTACGGGCAGGACAGACCTCTGTAGCCCCAGCTGGTGACAGGTGTTTAGGTGTTTTGATGACCCTGCTAGGCTGCAGGCAACCACATGCCACTTTGTAAAGGGCAGAGATACACATACTAATATAATACTCAAGTAGTTGAGAGATGTTTTTTCTATATAAAAAAATGTGTTGTCTTTTGGAGATTAATGTTAGGGAAATAAATGTAAATGTTTTATGAGCATTTAGCTTTTTTCTTTTCCTCCTCCTCTCTCTCCCAACCTCTCTCTCCCTGCTCCTCCTCCTTCCTTCCCTCCCTCTCTTTTCTTTAGACAGCAAAATACTTTACCACTTAGAAACTTGTAAAACATTGACTCACTGGGGAGGATGGTGGGCAGTGTTTTACTTTTCTGTAGCTTCCGTAGCAAATCAGCAAACTCAACAAGCTAAAACAGGAGGTAGGAGACCAGAAGGCAGGAATCAGGGAACCTTAGAGGAAGCTGTTCCTCCTGTAGGCCTCAGGGAATTATTCTCTAACTTTTCCTGGTTTCTAGTATTCCCTGCCCAGTCTCTGCCTGACCTCGCACGGCCTGTGTGGTCTCTTCTATGTCTTATCAGGACACTTTTCACTGAACTTGGGGCCGGTCTGGGGGCTCCAGAATAGTCTTATCTTAATATTCTTCATTATATCTGCAGAGAACCTTTTCCACAGAAAATCCCTTTTATAAATTCTGATTAGGAGGTAGGCAGTCTTTCTGGGGGCCGCTGTCCAAGCCACTGCAGGTGGTGGTGCCTGTCTTAGTGCATTTTAGGAGAGGCAGTGGCAGAGCGCTTGGTGCATTGCAAGCAGTGAGGGTTTTAAAATTTTTTCTCTATTCCAAATTTTCGTCCCTGGGGAGCTGTTTTTAATAACCCCACCTTGTGACCTACACTAAATATAATTGCTAGCCTTTTCTTTATAATTAATTTATAATTAAAAACCTCAGACTTACAAGATACTTCTTTTACCTTCAGCTTTGGTGTTTAGGTTACAGTAGTCAACTTTATGTACTTAGATAGCATAGCCTCCTGCCACCCCTAAACTCCTGTTTGTCTCTTTTCTCTTAGGAGATTAGGCAGCCATGTTATAGACCTATGAGCATTTCTGGGATTTGAGTCCTCCTTAGCACCGTGGCATACATTCTGTGGCTTGACCTAACAACACATGTCCTGCAACTGCTCTTCTAGCAAGAGCTGTGAGCATCAACAGGCAGCAGTGGTGGTAGATTTCCTATTTTTCATGACCCTAGCTGAGCAAATATTCCTTCGATCTGACCTGGAAAACCCTTCATGTGTGTTTGTAGCTTCACAGGCCACCACTGGTATGCCTTCTCCCCAGGGCCACCCACTGTGATTTCTGTCTTGGAACCCCCTTGCCAAAGATCATGCTGGGATGGTTGGGTGACGTGGATGGAGGGGTGTTTTTGTAAGGGTTGAAAGCTCATTTACTAGTTCAGAGGGCGGGGCAGCTGCTTGTCCTCTCACGTCGTCCTCTCGCTCTCCCCGCCCCTCTGTGCTTCCTAATGGTTCCCTGTGTTTCAGACAAGTCAGCATGTTATTTGAAAGAAAGAAAAAAGAAAAAAAAAATCAGTTGGATTTTTACTATGGATTTCTAAAGTGAGACTTCAAAGATTTATTTTTTAAAATTAATTGTATTGGAACACTTTTGACATGTGTAATGATCACATTTGTCATAAAAAACTTGTACCAGCACATAATAAATCTTGGTTTGTTTTTTTTCCATTCCCATCTCTCCCCTTTAATCCTTCTTCCCCTCTCCTTACAAAACTTTGTTTCTTTTGTTTTCTTTCCATTCTTATTTTTTAAATTCCTGTTCCCTTCCCCCTCTTTCTCCCTTGTTCCCATTCCCATGTGAACATTTTCTTCCTACTTCCCAGTATCTGTCATCATTGTCATCTTAATTTAGCCTTTAGGCTTCTCACATGACAAACGCGATATTTAAATGTGTGTGTCTGATTTATTTCACTTAAAATTATGTTCTCGAGTGCATCCACTTACGTAAAAATGTTAAGTTTATCCTTCTGTATGACTGACTGTAGTACTCCACTGTATGTAAAAACTATATTTTTAAAAGCCATTCATCCACTGATGCGCATCTGGGCTGTTTCCAAGATTTAACCATTACAAATTGTGTTGCTATACCAGCATTCAGAAAGCTAAGGCAGGAGTTTGATGCCAGCCTTGGCTACATTGTGGAGTTCAAGGCCAGCCTGAACTACATAGCAAGATGCTGTTTCAAAAGAACAACAAAGAGTGCTGTTATAAACATGGGTGTGCATATATCATTGTGGTATGATGCTTTTAACTCTTTTGGTAAGATACCTTGAAGGGGAATTGCAGGCTGAAATGGAAACTCTCCACACTGATTTCTACAGTGGTTGTACCAATTTACATTCATCAGCAATGTAGAAGTGTTCCTTTTCCCCCACTGCCTCAATGGCAACTGTTCTTTCTGGAGTAAGATGGAATCTCAGTGTTGTTCTACTTTACATTACATGAATGACAAGTTTGATGTTGAACATTTTAAAAAATACATTTATTTGCTGTTTGCACTTCTTCATCTGAGAAGTATCCATTTCTGATGCCCATTTTTGAATTGGGTTTTAAATTTGGGAGGTCTGTTTTTTTTTTTAGTTCTTAGTCCTTTGTCTGGGGAGTACCTGGTAAAAATTTTGTCCCATACTGTGGTTTGTCTCTTTACTCTATTGGTAATTTCTTTTTTTCTTTCTTTTAGTATTTGACACTGGCCTTGAACTCACTATGTAGTCTAGGTTGGCTTCCCACTTGGAAATCCTCCTGCCTCAGCCTCCCAAGTGCTTTGATTACAGGCCTGGCAGTCGGTGGTTTGCTTTTGCTTTATAAGTTTTAAAATACATGATCTTGGTTGTTGATTCTTTGTGTTATTTCCTGTGCAGTCAGAGTTTTGTTCACAAAGTCTTTGCCTACACCTATATCTTCAAAAGTTCTACCAATAGGACTTCTACCACATTGTGCTTTTGTTTTATCCTTTAGATCTTTGATCCATTTCAACTTTAGTTTAGTGCGTCATGAAAGATATGGGTCTAGTTTTAATCTTTGGCATGTAGAAATCCAGTTTTTCCAACACTGTTTACTAAAGAGGCTTTCTTCCAGGGAAGGTATTTGGCCCCTTTATTTAAGATAATGTAGCTCCGTATGCTTGAAGTTGTTTCCCCATCTTCTATTCTGTTCCATTGATCCTTAAATCTGTTTTTCTTTATTTTTGTCTGTCAGTTTTTTCATGCTGTTTTATCATGGTAGCTTTGTAGTAACTTCAGATCAGGGACTTTGATGCCACCTGGCTTGCCTTTATTGCCTAAAATTGCCTTTGCTATTCTGGGTTGCTTTAGGTTCCAAATAAATTTTAGGATTGTTTTCTCCAGTTCTATGAGCTGTGCTGTTGGTATTTTTATTGGGATTGCATTAAATCT